CTAGACGAATGTCTTTGACCGTTGTGCTAGCATCTAGCGTAAGCGCCACGTTTTAACCCTCTGATGCATGAATTATTAATTCATAAAGTAATATATTTTTGTACATGTTTGTTTTTACTTTTAAACAAGTGAAAAATCATTCCCCGAATTTTTTTTTGTCAATCTAATATATTTTGAGGAAGTTACATATATGTCCACTGTAGTGGACACCATGCATCAAATGTATAAAAAGTGAATCAATTGAACTAAATGTGTGGTCTTAAAAAAACAAGTTTTTAAAATATTTGCTACGTGAAAATGGTGATTCAACAATGAAAATGATTCAACAATTCGTCTCCTCCGCATCACCCTGGTGCCATTTTGGAGAGTATCAGCTGGACGTAAAGAGCGTATGCTATTCTGTGTTAGCTGCGTCACACGGTGATGTGGAGGAGACGAATTATTGAATAAAGTCGTTTTTTTTTTCTTTTGCACACAAAAAGTATTCGTGTAGCCTCGTATAATTGCGGATGAACCACTGATGTCACATGGATTATTTTACCGATCTCCTTGCTACGTCTTTGGACTTGGGAACATTTCAGTTGCGTTGCTGTCTATGCAGAGTCAGACAGCTCTCGGATTCCATCAGAAATATCTTAATTTGTGTTCCGAAGATGAACGAAGGTCTTACGGGTTTGAAACTACATGAGGGTGAGTAATTAATAACATAAATTAAATTTTTGGGTGAACTATCCCTTTAAGTTATTAGTCTTCCCACAACATCTTCATTGATTTCTCTTGCAGTTACATATATGTCGTATATTCACATATATAATAACTGTATTTTACACAGCGGAATTATTGAAATGGTCAGCAAGCTATCTAGATATTGACTTAAATCTTCTAGCCTGTGTTTAGACTTTAGTAAGATTTCCCCAAGAAATAGACAAGAATGAACCTCCATTATTCATATTCTTTCCGACAACCTGCATTTAAACCCGACAAACTCATAATTGCAACTTCAGAAGTGAAGGAGCTCTTTAAAGTCAAGTGGATCCTAATTGGCTGTCAGTGTTTTTATTGTTTAACAGCTGGAAAGTGAGTTATAGTTATATAGTCTCGTGCCATAATCGCTGGAAAGTCCATCTTACCTGTGAGCTGCGAGGTCCCGCTGTGCCGTCTGTAGATGATGAACCAAAGCAGCAGAACCAGAACCGACCCGCTCGCAACCAGCCCGACACAGATCCACACGCTAGGGCTGATGGTGGACCAGGACTCATCTGGACCTCTGGTGCTCAGCACCGGCGGAGGAACTGCTAGAGCAACGAAAGCATCCAACTCGACATAAAACACACCATCTTGCGCTGATCCAGCAGATCTGCTCATGCGACACTCACCTGATGGCGTCAATCCCAGGGATTTGTGGGAGATGCAAAGCTTGAGCAGAGAGTCCCACTGAGAATCAGGAGCGCACGCTGTCCTCTCCATCACTACTGATAAAACTGATGAGAGTAAAGGCAGGGATGGAGAGATCACTTCTTCATTCGTGATACCGGAGAGAATGAATCACTGATCGAATCTCTAGAGCAGTGGTTCCCAACCCTGGTCCTGGAGGCACCCCAACACTGCATAGACGTGGGCTTATCCACAAAAAGAGACTGAGCTGCGTAGGCCAAACGAGACAGACCCTCTGCCTTAGTAAGCAGCGTACTGCCTTTTAGTGACAGATCCCTTTGTAACCAGCAGGGTTTTAATGTGTTTGTCTCATCGCTCCGGCCGGACAGGGCATCATCACAGTATGGTGAGGGGCGTAACATTTCCGTCACACGCTTGAGGTATTCGGCCAATCACAACGCACTGGATAGCTGGCCAATCACAGCACACCTCGCTTTTCAGACCGATGAGCTTTGTAAAAATCTACGTGTTTCAGAAAGGCGGGGCATAGAGGAGAAACAATAATGTACAGTATGTGGAAAATAATGTGTTTTTTTTAACCTTAAACATTTCTTTACACCAACTACACAAAATAATGTTCTTTTTAGCAACATCATATGACCCCTTTAAAGTAAGAGGTTTAAGAAGAGGGTGGGGCAACAGTTAAAAAAATTAAAAGTTAAAGTTCATGCAAACAGGTATTAATTGACAAGTTTGTCAAATATTTATTGTTTATAGCATATTGTATTTGTCCTACAGTTACAGCATGAAATAACCAACTATTTAAACATTTACCTATTTTATCTCACAATTCAGACTTTTTTTTTTCTCGCAAATGCAAGTTTAATTCTCCTTGTTCGGACTTTATAACTAAATTTAACTCAACAATTGCAAGTTTGCCAATTCTGGGGAAAAAAAGCCAGAAGTGTGGGATTATAAAAAAAAAAAAAGAGGGAGGAAAAAAAAAAAAAAGTGTCCCCCCCCCCCCCCCCCAATGCCTAGTGTTACATTTTCTTTGTTTAGAAAAACGTCCAGAATATCAGGGCAAGTAAGCCTTTTCCCATTACTACACATAACACAATTTGTCACTTATATATAATTTATTACTTATTCTGGGGAAAAAAAGCCAGAAGTGTGGGATTATAAAAAAAAAAAGAGGGAGGAAAAAAAAAAAAGTGTCCCCCCCCCCGAAAATATATCACAAATCACAGTGGAGTTTTTGGCAGCTGTTACAGAAACATTTTTACAATAAATACTCTGATTTGATTTTGAGATTAGCTTCGATATTTGTGCTATCTGGGTTCCTTTGGTCAAACATTACTGCAGTAAAATTGTACCGATCAAACGCTTCAGTTGAGCACAAGTGCAGAATAGCCGACTGAATTAGTGAACCTGTGTCCAGCAAAAACACTCAAGACTGAGAAGTGAAGCTTGTGTTCATTCATTCACTGGTTGAATCAAAGAAAAAAAATCACATGCGGCACAGATTACAAACATCCTGATGCTCACAGACCTTCAGAGCGATGTACTATTTATTTTATTAATTTCTATGGAAACTGAAATAAGCCATTATATTTTAATTGTAGTATTTTATTTACTTATTTTACCATCATAAGTTAACAATAAAGTAGTATAGTAGCTTATTTTAATTCCATTTTTCTTTTTTGTAGATATGACCGTAGGCATTATTGTTAACTACACCTAAAAATATAAAAAACATTTTATTCACTTGAAATAAATTAAATGTTAACTGAAATAAAATCGTATAATTTTATGCGTTAAATTATCTTTAATAAGCTATAGTGTTTTAACTGTAGTATTTTATTTAACCATCATAAGTGAACAATGATATACTAAAAATTTAATATATTAGCTTATTTTTATTACATTTTTTTATTTGATTGATTGTAGATATGACCAGGGATATTATCACTATCCAAAACTACAAACAGTGTTTAATTAGTTTTATTTATGTCTAATAATACTTCAGTCAAACTCAAATAAGCTATTATGTTTTAATTTGAGTATTTTACTGTGACTGTCGTAAATGAACAATAAAGTACTAGAATTAAAACATGTTTTTTAAATGGTTTTAGTTACTTGAAATAAAATAAACATGAACTGAAATAAAATATTAAAATAACTTGATCTAATTTTATTTCAGCTAATTGCCAATGCAACATTTCTCATTTCTCATAAAATAACAAACTAAAAAAAAAACTATATACACAATTATAGACCATAACTATAAAGACAATAAAAATTCCAAAAAACTTAAAAAAAAAAAAAAAAAACCTTACACTTAAGCTTGCAACATTCTAACTTTCATTTAGTTTAACTTGAAGTACTAAAATAACTCAAGACTAAAAAAAAAATAATCTATCACGATATAATGTTTCTTATCATTCGGTATTGATAATTATTGACATTTTTTTATAACCTCTTAAAGAGCAGTAGAAAAAAAGGTTTAAATTTAACCACTGTATTTTTAATTTACCCAATTTATTAAGACAAACAAGAACATATTTTAGTTTTAACAATCAAACACAAAATAAAATGAACAAATATCTCCTTCCTTATATTTTATATGCAGATTAAATAAGTGTTAAGGAAACATTTGCCTGTCTCCTGAGGCCACAGGAGAGCGCAATGAGCAACATAATGCACCTCGTTAAACTGTTTATTCAATGCAATGAAATAACGATTGTCTAGAAAAAAGTGAAAACTGTTTAAACTAATATTTATAAATCAAATAGAATTTTATAAATTGCATAAACAATTATGAACAAAACAGCATCACGTATTTGTGCATAGCTTAATAAAAATAGCCAAAGCGCCGATCACACGATTGCATTTAATCATTCACTGGTTGAATCAAAGAAAAAAAATCACATGCGGCACAGATTACAAACATCCTGATGCTCACAGACCTTCAGAGCTGAAGATAAAAGACAAGGCACTTCTGAGTCACCTTCCCTGAGAGGAGAGATCTGAAAATGTAAGAAATGTCCCAACATTTACATTAGAAACTTTGCTTTTCTGTTCGTGTCGTTCATTTGGATCTTTGACTAGATGTAAAACAAAAATGACAACAATGCTGACGTCCTCACTTTAAGCATGTAGCGGTAAGATATGGAAACCCATTTCTGCCACATATGACAAAAAAAAAGTCATAATTTGGTAAATCATAATCATTACAGAAGTTAAAATCTTAACATTCGAAGTCATTCATGAGATGAAAAGACAAAATTATGAAGTAACATTTAGAAGGTGAAGTGTCGAGAAAAAAAAAAAAAGATGCAAGTCATATTTATGAAGTTAAAAAGTCGAAATAAGTTATATTTGAGACGAAAAGTCAACATTGACAAAAGTCATTTATGTCAATATCGACCTATAATGTGTCATAATTTAGCCTTTTTACCAATTATGATTTAGCATGTTGTACGTTAGACTTTTTCCTCATAAATATGACTTAGTATCTCAAGTTCAGCTTATATCATAAATTGTATATCATAATTTCAAGTTTTTGTGTCATTTATTATTTGCATCAATTATGATTTACCAAGGCATGTTGTTGTTTTTTTTTAATCTTGTGTAGTGGAAACGAGCATTAAAGCAATACGATTTACTCAATCTATCAATCAAGAGAGATGTAAACAGTGCTGGACTGATTGGCAGCTGTAGAGTTTAGTGTGGATTTCATGGCTCAAAATAAACAGTGATTTGACAGACTCAAAGGTTCAGATTGGTTTCAGCATCAGATGGCGAACAGAGAATCAGTTCAAAAGCAGGCCAGATGTGAGATCCCATGATCCTCAGGGGTGGAAGAGCTGCGGCTGCATCAGGACGAAGCTGAAGTTGTATTTCGGAGGAAGACCCTGATGGGACGTGCTGTTGAACGGCCCCCAGGAGAAGACGGGAAGCCCTCCGTCTGTGGTCGGGCCGTTTACCGCCTCCGCCACGAACTCCTGAGCCATGTGCAGATCCGTCACCTGACCGGAGGACAGCAGAGCGTCAGGAGAGCAGAAGACTCAATCTGATTGGTTAATTAGAGGCGGTCAGCTGACCTTGGTGTCGTAACATCCTCCGGGACTGGCTTGATGCTCCCACAGATCGTTGCGACAGCAGATGGACTTACATGGGTCGCCCTGCGAGTACGGGTCGCTCTTATAATCTGAGGACAGATTGACATTATGATTGACAGGAGGAGACCGTGACTGACAGGTCCTGAGCTCATTACGCAAACATGTGCCTCATTATAATGTAGCAATGGCTTTTACTCGGTGATATTTAAAGGCTAAATAAACCAAAATGTAGTAACTATATTTTT